AGCAGGAAGCGCGGTCGTTGTTAATCCGGGCCACGGCCGATCCGGCATGAAATTTTGTAATTTTGTATTGGACATGATGTTGGATTGGGTAGCTGCTTTTTGTTTAACCGCTATCCAAACAACCTGCCTGGCATGGTAGAACCTCAAGAGACATAAGTCTCAGCCAGTATAGCTTGATTAGGTCATTGCGGTGTTCAAGCCCGACCACCACGTCAAGGTAGCAGCTTTCGGTCGGGCAAGACGTTTCACACAGTCAGTGGGACAGTATTATTTACTGGATGACGTTTCGAACAAAATTGATTGTTCATAATCATTTCATCAATTGTAATCACACGACTTTGAAAGTTGAGTTTTATAGTTTTCTTTGTCCTCTCCTATTTGTCGTCATTCGGGTAGTAGAATTTTCCAGATATGCAACTGGACAGGTGTTGAATCATTCGTATTACACGTATTTTCATTCAGTTGATTCGATAAACAAAGCCTCAGTCTGTTGTCAATCTCTCCCTCCACCTAGCAGTGACATTAGATTATGAAACTGTCATCTTATCCCATCCTGTTGTATGGTTGTGTGTGTGTAACTGCATGCAGTACTATGTGCAGCTGAACTATTCTCTAGATTTCTTATTCGGGTCAACTAATCTAGATTTTGCTAGGTTTTTATGTTCGGCTAGTGTGACTGCTCCTGTTTTACTACTTTGACTTGTGTATTTGACCTGACAATCATTGCAGGGTTTTCAAGGCTCCACGGGATTACTTACTTACTTACTTTACTTCGGCTATCTCCTACGAGAGGATGAGCCGGCTTCATGAACAAGAGAGTTCATGAAGTTTCATGGGAATTTGGTACGAGTGATGTCCCCAGCATCGCTCGGCCTTTTGTTTGAGAGTGCAGCTCTAGCCTTTACACAACCAAGTGTGACCTACAAGGCAGTAGGAGTGGAGTAGGGAGTCCACTATCCATTGGCAGCCAGCCAGTGACCGGAGTCCGGTTCATACGCTCCACGGGATTGATCCTTTAACAAAGCTTATTTCTAATTGAGTTTGTGAGTGGTTTGAATGCCAGCCACTTTTATTCCTGCCCGCCTTGTTAAGAATTTTGCGTAAGGTTTCTGAGGTTCCTTCCTTGTATGAAATTACTACTGATGATTTAGATTCCTCATTGTTGGTGTTTTCATTATCCCACGGATGTTTGACATGCATGTCATCATTAATATTACTATTATTATTATCACTATCACTACTGTCATTATTTATTTTATTTTTACATTTCCCTACATACTTTCCGACTAATTTATCAGGGTAATTATTAAGTTTCAAGACTTCTCTTATATGTATCACTTCCTGTCTTAGATTTTCTTTGGTACTACTTAGTTTATGTGCTATGTCACTGTCTAGTAGTTCACTGTGCTGGACCAACTAAATTTGTAGATACACATAGAAATGGTACAGCTGGGTAGATTGTCTTTCACTTGAGCAATCATGATTGGTCGACTGCAAAAATGATAAACGAAGACTTGAGGCAGTATAAGTCCGTTTTATTGCTCCCGATAATCTTAGATATAGGACTTCACTAGCCACACCCTCATTAAATTGCAATTTTAGAAAAAAAAGTTGTTTCTTTTTAACTGTGTTGTCAGTTTCTCTCTATTATTATACTTAGTGTTCATGTGTCTCCTTACAAATCTACTAGAATCACCGTACGTCAAGGATGCCCATTATCCCCTTTTCTATTCAACTTCATCATAGATGTGTTAATGGACTTAACCCTAAGTGAATTCAGCGACTCAGGGATTGACTTGCTACCAGGAAATAATCTCGTTGACTTGGAATATGCAGACGATATAATCCTTCTAGGCGAAGACGCTGACAAAATGCAGAGTCTTCTAAACACCTTGAGCCGCAATCTACGAATGTTTGGCATGCGATTTGCTCCCACCAAATGCAAGATGATGTTACAGGACTGGACTACATCGACGCCTAGTTTAAAAATAGGAAGTGAAGTGGTAGAGCACGTTGACCGCTTCACTTGTTTGGGAGGTTGCACCAGCAGACGCCAACAGGTTGATCTCTGACGAAATCTCAGCACGGATACAGGGGGCTCGTTCCGCATTTGCCAGTTTACGCCGTCTATGGCGTAGACGAGATATCCGGCTGGCTATCGACCAAAGGGCGGGTGTACTGCTCATCAGTCCACTCCCTCCTCCTTTATGGCTGCAAGTGAGACCTGGCCACTGAGAGTGGAAGACATGAAAAGATTAGCTGTCTTTGATCATAGGTACATGCGTTCTATCTCATGTGTGAAGTGGCATAATAAGGTGATCAATATTGAGGTTAAGCTTCGGTCGAGTTCTAGGTAAGGAGGGGAAATCAATCGACGAAGTTGTGGAGTTACAAAGACTGGGATGGTTAGGACATGTGTTACGTATGCCAAGTCATCGCCTTCCTCGACGAGCAATGTTAGCTGATACAGGGTAAGGCTGGAAAAGAGCTAGTGGAGGTCAAACAAAAACTTGGCACCAGTCAATGAAATCCACAACAGTTAGTCTAAGCCACGTAGGAAGGTGTAGACTTCCTGACTGTTTGGGGTCCTCGGGACGGTAAAAACAAACGGTTGGAAACAATTGGTGACATGGCTCAAAATCGTTCTCAGTGGCGCAGATGCATCCACTCCTTGTGACTTATGATTTCCAATGAAACTGTTTTGTTCTTCGTTATTACTCTTCCTTTGTCTCACCCCTCTGCTCACTGTTTCTATTATGCTTTTCTTGTACTTTTTTCTCTTGCTTCGCGTGCTACACGGAATGTGGCGACTTGAACTTCCGCACATTTGTGCAAAGTTCTATGTCGAAAACAGACAGACAGACTAGAATCACCCATTTTGGATCAGAATATTTTCGATGTATCCTAATACATTTTCTAGGCAGTCAGTCATCTCTGCAGATCCGTCTTACTCTCTGTTTATGAGGCATCTGATAGAAAATTGATTTTATATCGGATTGATGCACAAAACTTTAGTAGATTACAGATATATGTCAGATGAAACCTCTTAAGCTTTAATTTGTTGTACGTGTGACTATCGGTCGTGTTCTAGTCTTATGCAAAAGCTTTGTGAGTACTTTTGTAAACTTCTCTATAGAATCTGTCTTGTACCTATCGGTCTTGAATTTCGATGCGTTGTTTAGAATGAACTTAAACAATATAAAAGATTTCAATATAGAAAAAAATTCCCAATTTAGACATTTAGAAAACAGACCCTTCATCCCACGAAGCCACGTCATGGACTTACCACCCCTCCACCTTTTCCATTCCGTCCCAGGGCTAGAGAACAGAGACCTGTACGGAAGGCTCTGGGATGACATTCGCAGCACAAAACAAAATTAAGGTTAATAGGAATGCGATAAATAATTTTAAATGCAGTATTAACGTCAACCTTATGCTCAGTGTTATATACAAGGTGTACTAAAATATAGCTAGCTATGAATAGATCTTGTTTATCCCTTGCATGGTTAACCATGCTGGATGATGTTCGGATATACGATGATAAAGCTGCCTAATTGTACGCCCGGTGAGTTCATATTGTATGAGGGAGTCCTGTCATTTCAGATAGGAATAACAGATGTTATTTGCAATAGTGTACCAAAAACCAGGTCTCCATATTGTATCTCACCTCTGACACATCTACCCCTGTGCCCAATCATCATTGTCTTTTCTAAAATCATTTGCCTCCTTTGACAAGCATTATTTTCCACATTTCACTTTGTTTCCTAACCATTTCATTTCCCCCATCTTTATATAACTGTTTGATTATTTTGTGTGGATAAAAAGACAGTTGCAGCGAAGAAAATTTTTCTTTTCGACGAAATCATCAACTAGGCTGTGTACATTCGTGTATTTATAATAAATGGGTAGGAAGGTTCCAGGGTCAGATTAATAAAATTACAATTAAGAATTAAAACTGGGGGATGGATAAAGCTCAGACAAAGTAGCATCATAATTACTGAGAAGATTGATACATATTGTGCATTTAGGGGTGGGAAATGTAGAAATAGACAGGATGTTTGGATAAAAAATCCAGTGGGATCGTAACTGTGACGAATAATTGTTTATGCAGTTGGGGTCTAAATATGTAGTAATAATAAAATAACAAAAGAGACAGTAAGTTCGGATATGAAAATATGGTAGTGTGAATAGCAGGGATTAAGAAAAACCTAAAAATAACATGAATAAAGAGGAAATTTGAATAAGAAGGGCAATAAGATAGTCACTATTAGAAGAATTACCTTTGTAAAAAATTATATTTGTAAAATCTCAGTGATATTGAAATGAGTAATTCCAACGTTTCGTTCGGCAATCTGGTCCGAACATCTTCAGGGAAATTAATCGAAATTACCTTAACAGAGGTTTATATATTATCGCTGAGATTTTACTAATGTCTACTTCTCACTCGGCGCCCAAATATTTTAGAACTATTCTGTCAAATCGTGACTACAATTCATTGGAGAAGAATTACCTGTTTAATATGGCCACGGCAGAGGCAATGGTTGAACGTATTTCTTTTGGATACATAGCGTGGGTTTAAGATTTTGGATGGCTAGTGCCTCGACTATGCCCAAATGTCTTAATTTTACTCCCTTTCATAGGTTCGATCGAATCTTGTATATTAACTACTTTGAAGGATTTTACCGAATGGCGCAGAATGTCCTGAATTGACCAGTTGTTCTATCACTGAACTATATACCCATTTTCGATCTCCTTTTACTAACCAGGCTGGAAAGTGTTCACGAGCGCGAATGTACAGCCTAGTTGATGATTTCGTGAAAAAGAAAAATTTCTTCGCTGCAACTATTTCGTGAGGATAGTAAACAGTGTGAGCCCATTATATATATAACTTTGTGGGTAAAATAAGTGGTATATACGTTATCTCTGAAAATGTTAGTTTAAATATCACTTTGTTATTAGTATGATTATTATTTCTATTGTATATGTGATTTGATTTTCAGAAACAATTGGACTGTGATTTACGCATTGGAAGTGCTTATTATATAGGCACTACAATAAATCCAAATTTCAATCCTTCTACTGAACAGCACAAAACAATGAAAGATGTTGACAAAACTGTCAGATCACAAGCTTTTTTAAGACATCCATTCAACTTGTTATTAGCTCGTGAACAAGGTGATATTGGTGCAGCATCAAAATCACGTCGATTACGTTATAGAGCCAGTCGTTGGATAACTGAAGGCCATCAACGCTATAATGGTTTACAAATTTATGGTAATCGATGTAAAGGTGTCCTGTATCCTGATGCACAGACATTTCAAGAGAATATTCAAGGCAGTTTATGGGCCGTTAATCGATTGCATTTAGAAAATAAATTTGAGGTATTTTTTGTTTCAGTTTGTTTGTTTGCTTGTATAATTATTATACTTTAATTGGACACTAATCACTAACTAGTGTTATGTGTCTAGTCCTTTATTTACCGCGGACTGAATTCTATCAGTCAGTCAGCTTTGCAATATGGCCACCATCAAAATAGATGGCTCGCCATCATGGTGCACATTGATTTGATGATATTAGATTAGATTAGTTGTAGGCATTTGGCCACAGGAAGCCTTGTTTGACCTAGGTTTCGTGTTCTAGTTGGCACTCAGCAGTCAGCAAGGCATATCTGTCTGTCTGTTTTTGACATAGAACTACTTTTCACCGATGTGCAGTAGTTTGAGTCGCCACACTCCCTCTTTGTGGCACACAAAGCAAGAGAAGAAAGTAGAAGAAATGCATAATAGAGACAGTAAACAGAGGTGTGGGACATAGGTATAGTAGTAACGAAGAACAGTTTCATTGGAAATCATAAGTCACAAGGAGTGGATGCATCTACGCCAGCCATTTAGAACGAGGATTTTGAGCCATATCACCAATTGTTTTCAGCCGTCATTGGTATTTACCGTCCCGAGGACGCCAGCCAGGAAGTCTATACCTTCCTGTATGGCTGGCTTAAACTAACTGTTGTGGATTTCATTGACTGATGAGGTCATGTTTTGGTTCGACCACCACTGGCTCTTTTCCAACCTGAATCATCCTATGTCAGCCAACAACATTGTCGAGGAAGGGGATGACTAGGCATGCGTAACACATGTCCTAACCATCTCAGTCGATGTAGCTTCACAGCCTCATCTATTGATTTCCCCTCCTTACCCGGCTTTCGACCGAAGCCTAACCTCAATATTGCTCAGTCAATTACATCTATGATCAAAGACAGCTAACCAGGCTTTTCATGTCTTTCACTATCAATGTCCAGATCTCACTCACAGCCATGAAAAAGGACGAAGCGGACTGCTGAGCAGTGCAGTCTCCCTTTGGTTGATAGCCAACCGGATATCACGTCTACTTAGCGAGAGACGGTGTAAACTGGTATATGCGACACTAGCCTTCTGTATCCGTGCTGAGATTTTGTCAGAGATCAACCCTTTGGGGTTGGCTGATGCAACTTCCCAAATAAGTGAAGCGGTAAACGTGCTCTACCACTTCACTGCCTATTTATAAGCTAAGAGTGAGTCAATGTAGTCCAGTTAGTCCTGTATCATCATCTTACATTTGACAGAAGGAGCGAACCGCATGCCAAACATTCGTAGATCGCAACTCAAGGTGTTCGGAAGACTCTGCTGTATTTCACCATCGTCTTTACGTATGAGGGCGGACTATATCATCTGCATATTCTAAGTCAACAAGATTATTCCCTGATGGTAACAAGTCAATCCCTGAGTATCTGAAGTCAGTTAGCGTTAAATCCGTTAGTACATCTATGATGAAATTGAATAGAAATGGGGATAGTGGGCCTATCTGCAACCTTGAAGGAACCCATGTGCCTTTTGCGATTCGAACCCGTATCACCCAGTTCCGGGTGCAATCAGAGATGTTACCACTGAGCTATTCGGACTGCCTCGTAATTGATCTCCTCTCGGACTTTTTTGGATACTTTGCCGCGGATTCGAATCTCAGAAGGAGTGGCATGAGTTCCTTCAAGGTGATTGCAAATACACCATGCTGACTGGTGGTGAGTGCCAACTAGCACGAAACCTAGGTCAAGCAAGGCTTCCTGTGATTGATTGCACTTAACTATCTAATATCACTATTGTACTTTTTGAATTCCATCTTTGTTAATTATATATATATATATATATATACATAGGTAAATTGGTGTAAAAAGGCGATAATGTATATATGCACATATTTGATGTATCAGATATCAGAAGACAATTTGTTGGTGTTGGTGTTGTAATGGTTTTTCACGTTGTGATATTTATAGCTTGACTTGACTTCTTATCAGCTTAGAGTTCATCTAAAAGTGTTGATCGATAATTCTCAATTAACAGTAAAAACAACAGTGGTTTTTGCATTAATGCTATCATTATTTTTTATTTCGTTGGCTTCTCATCACCTCAGCTCTGCATAGCCCATAGTCATTATTAAGTATATCTACAGAAACAATTTTAACATACTTGCACAGAGTTCATTTTAAACAAAAATCAATCAATATATGCATACAATGATCATATATAAATATGTACAATACTAAATACTATTCCGAACAACAATGATCATACACAATAGAAACTTTCGGCATTACGTAAGCAAATGGAAGAGAGACGGTGAAAATATCCAGTTACCCCAAGTTGGCAAGGAAAGATTGATAGCTGCTTCTTTCTGAACGCATAAATCAGGTTTCAGGCGCTTGACATTTTGAGTGATCTTGCAACGTCCATCTCATGACCTGTGTCAAGCAGATGCCTGGCGATGACACAGTTAAAATCATTTGATCCCCCTTTATGCATAGGCTTTTCAGTTTATTGTTCAGAAAGTCGGAGTTATACCCTTCTTTTTTGTCCACCGAATGTAACCGCTATCGCAGATACACATGAATTTGTATATACACTTGGCGTTAACATGAGAAGGATATCTATGGATTTTTTGATTCCACTAAAGAGCAAGTTATTCGATAGACAGGGATGAGCTTAGCTGCAGGATAGGCTATGGCTAGTGATGTACTCAGCCTTCTGTTGATCATCGTTGCAATGTTTTCACCTTTATAATCAAGTTGAATGTAGATTGACTTTTTACCCACTATGATTTGTTTGACATTTGAGACTTCAGATCTTCCATACTTGTTAATGAACCTTTGAGGGTAATCATTGCTTTTCAACATCTTTTCAAGAAACACAAAAATTTCTTCCTCTAATTTCTCTATATAAAGCATTATCTCCTCTCTGTATAGTACAGAGTCTTGACTAGTCCATGTTTAAAGCGGTTTGAATAAAAACTATTTAAATGTAAGTATTATCCTATCCAACAAGTAGGCTTTCGGTAAATTGACTTCTGAAGACTACCGTCTTTTAGGCGTTGCATGGCAATATCGAGGAAGTCGAGCTTTCCATCGCTTTTATGTTCCATAGTCAACTCAATATTGGTATGTGCAAAACTGCAAACTTGGCTGACTGATAGAATTCAGCCTGCACCAAATAAAGGACTAGACACGTCACACTAGTTACTAGTGTCCAATCAAGTTATATATGTCTAAACCAAGTACACTTTTAAAAGTTTGAAAAAAGCCTACGCTTTGAGCATATGATATTCATCATAATAAAGGTTTTTTCATTCAATGGGAAATACAAATAAGAACCTTTATTATAGTGTCCAATCAAAGCTAATAACCTTGTTAAAGGCAAGTAATTGTAGTGGGATTCGACTGACTGACTGACTGGTTTCAACATAGAAGTGTTGCACAGAAGTGCACCCAAAGTTCGAATTGTCACACTCCACTTATAACACATAAACGAATACAAAATAAATAGTGACAAAGGGATTCATAAGGGCTTCAAAGTAAACAGAAATGTCAGGGATAAAGAATATTAATACAGAAAATTGATAGGATCTAATGGATATTTCAAAAAGTGAATACGTCGGCGCCTTTGAGAGTAATTTTCAACCATACTATCAAATTTAATTGGTGGATGGTGACTAGCAGTGGAATCCAGGATGCACATTTCGTCCTATTTGAGACTCGTCAGCTGGATGTACCTGTATTTCTCAGTGAGTGATGATGTGCCCACAATTGAGGCTCGAACCCAATGCCCATAGTTTCAAATGCCGAAGCCGACATGTCAACCTGAGACCGAGTACTTTGGTCCAATCAATCGACGGGAAAATCAAAAATCCAATTAAATTATTATGACCCATTGCACAAGAGGTGGCTCTCGTGGCCCAAGTGGTCTAGTGGATAACGCTTTGGAGTTTGGAACTATGGGTACTGGGTTGAAGCCTCAGTTGTGGAAAAATCATCACTCACTGAGAAATACAGGTACATCCAGCTGACGAGTCCCAAATAGGACGAAATGCGCATCCTGGATTTCACTACTAGTCACCATCCACCAATTAAATGCTAATTAAATGCCCAGACATCGTCGAAGCATCTGCACAAGAAGCCGACACGTCAACCTGAGACTGACCACTTCGGTCCAATCAATCGACAGGAAAATCAAAAATCCAATTTAATTATACTATCAAATTGCCTCCAGTCAATAGTTCTTAGAATCTGGAGAATGCCAAATTGCCAAGTAGTCTCTATACCTCCCTAAATGGCTGACTCACTGACTCAAATTAACTGTGTTAAAAGTTTTTATGGACTAATTCCATGTTTTCTTTGCACTAGTGACTAGCTCTTTCCCAATCTGATCCAGGCAGCCATAGATACAGCTGTAAAAGCTGTGAATAAGGTAAACCCAAAGGTGAGTAAAAACCACTGGATCTCCACCGCCTCATCCGAACTGATAGATGCTAGAAGACTTATTCCGGCGAGCTCCGAATTCAATGAGGAGCGAAAGCTGCACAAAAGGAAACTTACGAAAAGTCTCCGCAAGGACCGTGAACAGTGGTAGGTGACAAAAGCGAAAGAGATGGAGAAAGCTTCGAGGATAGGCAACACCAGGAAACTATTTAGACTCATCAGGGAAACGGGTGTGAGAAGACAAATCATCAGTGAAACAATCTCTGAGAGAAATGATATCACAATTAGCTCCCAGGATAGACGACTGGATCGCTAGGAAGAGCATTATGAGGAGCAGTTTAATTTGCCTACACCCACACTCAACTTACCAAACATCCAACGCCTCCCTGAATGAAATTAACCGAAGTTACTAAGGCTGTCACTAGTCTGAAACAAGGCAAAGCAGCGGGACTCGATGGAGTGACTCCAGAAGTATTTAAGTACGGTGAAGGCAGTTTGCTGTCTGCATTAACTGAGGTTCTAAGCAGCGTCTTGGAATCAGAGGAAGTCCCGTCGGGTTGGTGTAAGTCACTGATTATCCCGATATACAAGAAGGGAGACAAGTCTTCCTGTGATAGTCGCACGGATATCAGCTTGACTAATATGGTATCTGAAGTTCTAGGCTCAATAGTCATGCGTAGACTGAGTGGTGCTCGGGAGGCGCAAACGCGAGGGAACCAGGCAGGTTTTAGATCAGGAAGAGGGTGTATTGATCATATCTTCACCCTCCGACAGATTCTGAAACATAGGCATTCTTACCGGCGTCCAACAATCATTATATTTCGTGAGCTAAAGGCGGAATTCGATTCTGTCGACCGTGACGTACTCTGGCGATGCTTGGCTGTAAAGGGAATCCTGAGAAAATATATTGCACTGATTAAGGAACTCTACTCGTACTCATACAGCCAGGTGAGGGCTTACGGTGAGCTGTCATCTGAACTGGTGACGACTAGTGGTGTCCGTCAAGGATGCCCATTATCCCCTTTTCTATTCAACTTCATCATAGATGTGTTAATGGACTTAACCCTAAGTGAATTCAGCGACTCAGGGATTGACTTGCTACCAGGAAATAATCTCGTTGACTTGGAATATGCAGACGATATAATCCTTCTAGGCGGAGACGCTGACGAAATGCAGAGTCTTCTAAACACCTTGAGCCGCAATCTACGAATGTTTGGCATGCGATTCGCTCCCGCCAAATGCAAGATGATGTTACAGGACTGGACTACATCGACGCCTAGTTTAAAAATAGGAAGTGAAGTGGTAGAGCACGTTGACCGCTTCACTTGTTTGGGAGGTTGCATCAGCAGACGCCAACAGGTTGATCTCTGACGAAATCTCAGCACGGATACAGGGGGCTCGTTCCGCATTTGCCAGTTTACGCCGTCTATGGCGTAGACGAGATATCCGGCTGGCTATCGACCAAAGGGCGGGTGTACTGCTCATCAGTCCACTCCCTCCTCCTTTATGGCTGCAAGTGAGACCTGGCCACTGAGAGTGGAAGACATGAAAAGATTAGCTGTCTTTGATCATAGGTACATGCGTTCTATCTCATGTGTGAAGTGGCATAATAAGGTGATCAATATTGAGGTTAAGCTTCGGTCGAGTTCTAGGTAAGGAGGGGAAATCAATCGACGAAGTTGTGGAGTTACAAAGACTGGGATGGTTAGGACATGTGTTACGTATGCCAAGTCATCGCCTTCCTCGACGAGCAATGTTAGCTGATACAGGGTAAGGCTGGAAAAGAGCTAGTGGAGGTCAAACAAAAACTTGGCACCAGTCAATGAAATCCACAACAGTTAGTCTAAGCCACGTAGGAAGGTGTAGACTTCCTGACTGTTTGGGGTCCTCGGGACGGTAAAAACAAACGGTTGGAAACAATTGGTGACATGGCTCAAAATCGTTCTCAGTGGCGCAGATGCATCCACTCCTTGTGACTTATGATTTCCAATGAAACTGTTTTGTTCTTCGTTATTACTCTTCCTTTGTCTCACACCTCAGTTTACTCTCTATTATGCATTTCTCCTACTTTCTTCTCTTGCTTTGTGTTCTACAAGGAGGGAGTGTGACGACTTGAACTTCCGCACATTGGTGCAAAGTTCTATGTCGAAAACAGACAGACAGACTAATCCTATATCAACCAGCTGCCATTGCTTGTCGAGGAAGGTGACGGTTCGTACGTGTGTTACGCATGCCTAGACATCTCAATCGATGTGGCTTTCCAACCTTGTCGATTGACTTCGCCTCCTTATCTAACCTCAATATTACTCGCCTTATTATACCAGCTGATAAAGGGAATAGAAGTGGGACGCTTATGATCAAAGGCAACTAGCCTTATCATATCTCCCCCCTTCACTATCAATTGCCATGTGTCTCACAGCCATAAAGGAGGATGGAGTAAACTGTTGCTGGGCAATAACACACGTTCTTTGATCGACAGTTGAATATCACAGGATTTTGTCGCCAAAGGCCACTCTTTTACATACACACACATACATGCATGCAGTTTCGTAGTTAAACTTATTTAATGTCTTATTTCTCTACTTATTCACACAATGACATACTTCATTCTATAACGGCCAGTGACGCGTGTTCATGGGAACGAAGAAACGTTTAAAGAGTTTGATAACTTTACCACCAAAACCAGTCACTTCACTGCGTAAATACGCTTTCAACCTAAAATTCCCCATTCATGTTCAAATGTTCGCACATTAAAGTAGAGAAGAGAGAGAGAAACTTGAAGGAACTAAAAATAAAAATGTATGAAACAAAGAATAATATTACAATCACAAACTGTGCTTCCTAGCCGGATAAGGGAAGGAAATAACCTTTGTCAAATCTCTCCCGTTGATGGTGATTGGTGTTGTTTATTGTTACTGTCGGTTGGTTGGTTGGTTGGTTATCTTCATCGCTCCCATCTTCTCTATGTTCACATGGAGTGATTCCTGTCTTCGATGCCTACCTTTTCTGCCAGTTTGTTGGTTTTCGTCTGTTAGTCTTCGAGTTTGTGTGACATCAGATGTAAATCATACACCTGCTAAATCCAGATCTTCTAGAGTCCTCCTATCGGTGTTCCAGTATATTCCTGCCCCTCCCCCGCTCCCTGTGCACAGTCTGACGCATAACCCAGTCCACCACAATTAGGAATATCATCGTAGGTGATAATAGGCAGGCAGCCTTGTCCTACTCCTCCATTCACTCCTAACGCCTTACTGAGTTTTCTGTTTTGGACCACCTGACACGTGGCACCGTCACATAGCTAGCTAGCTGTTGAATGAGTTTGACAAAGATATGTGCACAGGACTCCATCGTCTGTTGAGGTATTTTCCAAATTACTTCTCGGTCAACGCTGTCAAATCTGTTGCCTTTTCGATGTCGATGAAGTTGAGGCAGACGTTTGACTATCATTCTGTTCTAGTCTGTGTTCGATGACTATGATTAGAATTACAATATGATCAGCATATGATTTGCCTTACCTGAATCCAGCTTGTTCTGGTGGGGCTGGTGGAGTTCTGTACCCAGTGCATGCTTTATTCTCTCCAGGATGATGCGACTTAGTATATTACTTGGCTTTCTTTGGAGGATTGGTTTCTACCGGCACGTAGTTCTCTGAGTGCTGTTAGTGATATTTCTGGGAGGGTTTTAGTTGATGAATACATATGTAGCCGCATTAAAATTTTGGCTAGTTCAGCGAACAGTAAATCGTTCTGATTGGTTGGCGATTGTCTCCCTAGGTTAAACAATGAGACAAAAATTTGTCCAATGAGGTTACTCTGTGTCCACACTGTAAACTAGATCCAGATTTGAGGAATAGACACTTCTACCCTTGCAGATATTGTTAACTTGAAATGTTGATTTGAATTTCGGCCACTTCTTATCAATCTGCACGTATATATGTATACTACTAGTAAATCTTGTTAGTAGTACACCACCATTTTTGTTTTTTCCGTTTACGAATTAAATTGGACCAAAATATTCGGCTCGGCCTCTATTGACGTTTCAGCTCCTAGTACAAACGCTACAACAATGTCTGAAGAGTAATATGATGTTCGAAACGATTATTCCGGATTTCAAATCTCAGTGGGACCTATACTCACAGGTCCATCCAGTTGATGAGTCCCGAATAGGGTGAAATGCACATCTGGGATTCTGGTGTTAATCATTGGCGATCAGCTAATTTCAAATCAGTTGAGATTATTTTTCTGCGTTTCACTTATTGATTTTTGTGACTAACTATTAGTTGGTTTTCCTTGTTTTTTAATATAGAGTGCTCACTTTTTGTTATGTCGATGACCAGTATTATTATCTTTCTTTGTTTCTGCTTTTTCTTACAGTGTCACTATGGTTGTGTGAATGCGTTGAACTTTAATTCAAAAGGAAATTTAATTGCCTCTGGATCTGATGATTTAAGAGTTGTTATAACAAATTGGATGACCGGTGAACAAATGTGGAATTATCGTACAGGTCATAGTATGAATATATTTCATGTAAGTTGGTGTTATGTACTGATCGAGAATTTAATAGTCCTGACGCAAGAAAGACGGAAATCAGAAGACCACTAGGTTTGCGATGATACTTCTATTTACCAAACACAAGGAGAATCAATGTCACACAAGTGTGAGAGAGCAATTTAGTGTGAATGTCCGAACAAGTGTGTGAGCGAATATTCAAAATAAACAAATCAATAGACAGTCTTAACATGATTGGCTAATTATAATGGAGTATCGATCCATATATACATAGCAAAATATATCAGACTGTCAAACAAACACATTATATGGATACATATCACCAAGACCAGACTGTCAAACAAAACACACATATTATATGGATACATATCACTTGGTTAGCAGGAGACATTAACTCTTGGCTGTATGATTGATACCAGTTAAAAAAAAACCATTTAGAAACAAGAAGGCAGTATACTGGACAGATGTCTCGTCAGCCTAGTTTAGGACTTTTCATCAGTACGCACCCACCGTCGGAGTTCGAACTCAGGAGCTTCTGGTTACAGGGCGAGTTCGTAAACCATTTAATCGGGTTCCAACGACTCAGTGATCTACGAGCTCGCCTGGTAACCAGAAAGTCCCGGGTTTGAACCCCTTGTGGTGGGTATGTACTGATGAGGCACTGTCTCAAACTATGCTGACGAAACAGATGCTCAATACTCTCTGCAGGTTTCCCAGTGGTTCCCTCTAACCGATGTCAGCTCACGATGAAATCCTGTAACCGATAAATCAAATCCTTACAAATCAATACTTGAATGTTATGATTATGTTTGAATGAAGCGTGAGTAACAAGTTAAGTAGGATAACATGATACTGCAATTATGTGTATCTAGTTATCTCACCTACTACATAACTATGTATTGAAATAAGATTTTGAGCGAACAGTTGTGGCTTCGATAACTTCTTTTTCAGGCTCTACAGTTATAAATCCATGAATAATAGAGTACACATATAGCCAATGAAGGCAAATGAAAATAATATCAGAAACTGTATTGGGGTGCATGTGTAAGTTGAGGTGATAGTCCATTAGTTAACATAGTCAATCAAATGTGTATAGGGTGTATAGTCAGAATAAAATGTGATGAAGTGTGAATGAACAATTGGGTGGTGTATAGTGTTGTTTTATAGTCAACAGGATACAAGTGTCATTGGGGTGAGATAAATGCGATAACCACAAAATACATACAAACGCACATTAACAAAGGAGGCACTGAATGTGAGGGTTGACTGATAATGTCTAATGATAAAATAAAGAGGCTAAATTGTAAGTTGTAATAAAATGCTACAGAATTGGTAGGCTTAGTATAAAATCATAAAGGTTTACAATGAAGTGAAATAAACTGGGTTGAGAAGTGGATAATAAAGACATGATATCACAAAATAATAATGTTGATAATAATAATAGTATGTAAAATTATGATCCTGGTGACCTTATAGTGGGCCAGGGTAGACAAAGAGAGTAAATAAGTTTTTTCTGTACACATAGGTCTGGTCTCTCTCTATTAATCTCTAAAGCCTCAGATATGGTTAGGAGGCGTAATCTTGTGTCTTTGGGGAGATTGTTCGGTACTCGATACACAACTGTAAATGACTCATCTACTTTGTATTTGTATTTTGCTTTGTAAGAGTACACAATCCTTGGAAAAATGATCTGTTCTTCATGTCAATTCACTCTGAAGCTCTATAGTTATTTGGAATTTCGGTGTGTAAACTATTAGTTGGCATCACAAAGGTTAGAGGTTATTGTCAATTTTAAACAAAAACAGTCAGTGTCCAAGAAATAACAATGTATGTAATAATAGTGAATAACCTTATGTAATCAAGAAGACTGACTGACTGACGGATTGGTTTCAAACGTAGAACTACTTCGCACAGATGTGTACCAGTTCCAGTGGCCACACTCCCTTCTGGGAGCACACAAATCAAGAGAGGAGAGTGAAGAGAGATTCAAAACAGAAAGAGAGAGATAATAAACAGAAGTGTGAGTGAGGGAAAAAGAATAGTTTAAAATGGAAGAACAATAGGATTTTTTCATTTGGATATTCTAAATTACAAAGAGTGAATGCATATGCACCAGCCATTAAGAACAAGGATTTTGAGCCATATTACCAATCGTCTCCAGCCTTCGTTAGTTTCCACCATCCCGAGAACCCCAACCAGCCAATGAGACAGTCTGCACCTCCATACGTGGCTGGCTGACTTAAACTAACTGTTATGGATTTCATTGACTGATTCCATTCCACCACTAGAAGTTCTATTCCAACCTGATCAATCCATCACAGGTCATTCAGCTAACACTGCCTACCGAAGGAGGCGATGGATGGCTAGGTATGAGTGAGTAACACACGTCTTAACCATCCCACTCAATCGATGCAGCTGCTTCACAACCTAATCAATTGATTTCCCCTCCTTACCTAGCGCTCGACTGAAGCGCTGTTGAACAGACCACCTACCTAACACGGGAGAGAGAACGCAGGTACCTATAATTAAAGACAGCTAGCCAGTCAGGCTTTTCAATTTCAATATCTTGTCAAACTATCACTATATAAACGCTTATTTGAATAAATGACCAAGCTAATTGTAGGTGATTTATAAACACTGTCACTTTTGAGTAGAATTCACCATCACTATCACAAACTGAGTAGATTTTTATCGCATTGTGTTAGTAACTAGCCCCAAAACTTTTACTCTATGAGCATGTGACACACCAGTGTTAACCCATCGCCTACCCCTCTTCCATTTCATTCGCTTTTATCGCCCTTTATTGTTGGTGGTAGTCATTGTGGAGAGCCTTTTCATCAGTTTGCTTTTGAACGGCTTTCTGTGCTTATCATATTAGCAGCAGCAGCAGCAGCAACAGCCCATCGGAATAAGTCTCTTTGCATCTGTCAATTCATGATAAATTTGCGGAAATTCATTGCCAGCAGCATCAGCCTTTACTTTCAAGTTGACAATAGTACTTACGAGTTGATCACGGATTGATATCAGTTAGAGAACCATTGAGAACCGGGCCACAAGGAGTACTGAACAGCTGTTTCATCAGCCTAGTTTTGGTACCATCGGCAGTACGCACCCAGGGTTTCGGACCCAGGACCTTCCGGTTACATGGCAAGCTAGCTCGTATATGTCATCCAGACACTTGGACCCGACTCAATGGCTCATGAATGCTAACTATAGAAAAGTAATCTGATGCTCGCTAGCGAGTGACTGGCTATAGGACAGAGTTTCTTAGAGTTCTAATAAGTAGTCGTGACCGGTAGGGTCCATCCAGTCAAGTGTGAGGATGGATGTCCCACCAATGACATTGGTTGGGGTCGCACTAAATCACGAATTGGTAGAAGTTAGAATTCATGCACTGGCCATTAAGGAGTCGAGTCCCAGTGGCTCAATGGTATTACGAGCTAGCTTGCCTTGTAACCGGAAGGTCCTGGGTCCGAAACCCCTAGTGGTGGGTGCGTACTGCCGATGATTCGCAAACTAGGCTGATGAAGTAGCTGTCCAGTAGTCCCTGTGGGCTGGTTTTCAATGGTTCTCTAACTGATATCAATCCGTGATCAGCTCGTTAAAACAAAACTAATCCTTACAAACCAACTATAATAAAGTAGTGTTTACCATTGTTTCTATAGTAGGACTACATATAACTCCAGAGTGCATCATAATGAATACTGTCTTATGTTTTCATCGCATATAATGTAAGGTCTCGTAACTATTTCTCCAATACATCCGTTCAGTTATGAGTGTATGCAGATGCACGGACTGGTGTATGCTATCGGAGTTAGTTACTTTAATGTAAGAATAGGATTTCCAAAGTTACGTGAGCACTTTGAGCAATAAGATATGCTCAAAAAATTTCAAAAATTAATGAATAATACTGTAATACACAGTTATGTCACATAGAATTATACTTTTAATATCTCTCCTTATGCATTTTTGAAATTAGTTCTAGCTAGGAGTAGACAGTTTTCTGAACAGAATTGTAAAAGATGATCAGCATTATCGATTCTGTGGTATGAGACTTCGAGACTATTTGTTAATAAACTTTTTGGACTGGACCAACTCTTCTCCGTTAACATTGAAATCACCGGCTAAAATGGTTACATCAAGCCGTTTTGCTTTTACCAACATACTTTTCATAAAATTCATCTTTTACTCCATCTGAAGTACAGTCGACTGGTGATGCGTCAACAGCGACAGTATAAAGTGCCATCGACATAGATCCTTTTAGCCGGACAGCACACATATGATTGTCTATTGGTGTCCAGTGGAGTGCTAAGTTTTCCACCCTAATTGCTCATAACTCTTCCTCTCTAAATGACCTAAGCCCACGTGAACTAGCCAAAGGATCTCTTGACACCTATTGAATGAATTTTATAGATTCATTGTATTGACCAAATAGAGTTAAATGTGAACAGTCACACTTGGATGTTCTTTATGTGTCTCTGAGAAACAACCTATATCCAAATGCTCAAGATACCAGAGTTTGGCTTGTGAAATCTATTGTCAGGTTTCAAATAAGGTTCAGGATTCGTTGACGTGATTTTAAAAGACTGGGGGTGGGATGTTTTTTTAGAGAATGATGCTCAGGAAGGATTCGTATGCTTTTGGAAGTGTGTGGGCGGTTGTTATTTCCCGGCTGCCCACACCGTGAAAGTTGATTGATTCTTCGGGTACCTGAAACAGAAAGAGAATTAGTGTTGCTTGACCACAAAGCTCAGGGGACAACTGCTTGATGCTGGCCGGTCACACATGGCCTGTATGAACTGGTTTCTGATTAGTGAAATTACCGCCGGTTACGGACCAGGATAAGTCGGGATGTATAATTTTTGGGGTCGACCTTTTCTAACCCCCTCTCTCCGGAATGGAAAGACAGCATAGCTGGCTGGCATGCTGGTCATCTGAGGTAAACACCTCACTGCTATTACACCCCTGTTCCCCAGCAGTGCGACTTCTCCCTCAGACTCCCAGCATAGTGTAAGAAAGATTCTTACACAATGCTGGTAACTGCTTTTAGTCTAATCGCTATCTTAACAACCTTCCTGACACAGTAGGACCTGCAGGAACTTGTTCCAGCCAGTGTCGCGTGTTGGATCATCGCGATGTGCAATTCCGACCACCACGTCAAGGTAGCAGCTATTGGTCGGGCATTTCTTCTCTTGCTTTGTGTGCTACATGGAGGGAGTGGGGCGACTTGAACTGCTGCACACCGGTGCAGAGTTCTATGTCGAAAACAGACAGACAGGAGTGTCTTGTTGAATAGCCGCTTGAAGTGAATTACACAGTGAAGAGTCACCATAGTGTTAACGACATCGGTGAATGAGGTTTGGAGTAATGGTACTTTATATCTGCATAATTTAAATGACATCTCTCTCTCTCTCTTGTATTTATGTTTCTTTTCCCTTTTTTCAGGTGAAATTTATACCAGAATCAAATGATTTAAAAATTGTTTCATGTGCATGTGATTCAGAGGTGAGATTAGCACTGTTATCGCCTGCAGGCGGTTTAGCCGGACCAACTCGACTGTTGGCAAAGCATACACGATCGTGTCATAAATTATCGATTCCAGAAGGTGAACCAAATATTGTCCTATCAGCTGGTGCAGATGGACGAGTATTTTCAAGTGATGTGAGAACTTCAACGGCTCACAAGTAATATATATATATATATAGTTTTTTATTTATTATTATCACTGTTATTGCTATGATTCCCTTGGGTGCCGAGGACAACACACCTCTATTTCATTTTGTTCTCTTCAGACCTCTTTAGTTGGCTTGAATTGTCATCTTCGCATCATACAATCTCCCCTATGTCATCCTCGGACACGCACCCAACTCGTCGTTTCCCCTTTTCGGGTGCCTGGCCAGTGTGCGACGTCACTACTCCGCTCCTCAGCGGTCTTCTCAACGTGTTGCCGATCCATCTTCATTTTCTTTGGCTAACAGATTCTTTGTCTGTCGGTTAGCTGCCCGGGTTCCTTGTTGCTTATGTACTCTTGTGGTGTGAGCTGGCTGCTAGCCAAAATTAGTAGACAGTAATTCTATATCAGTTAGTTTATTAGATGTATCACAGATGATCTGATCACAGATAGATGATCTGAACTTCAATATACGGCCACAAAGAGATGAAAGATTAACATTCAGCGAGGAACCACGAATCAGAAGACTGTTTCTTTTCGCTTCCAATAATCTATAGTAATGTACAGGGAAATCTATAAATATGTGTTGATTTCCTAATTAAAAGATCTGTTTCCTGCCCCTTGTCTTCTATTGTTACACGCCTACCCTTATTGACTAACCACCTGATCTTCACTATGACGTCAGCAAAGGTAACTTTTAACGACATTCTAACGCCTGTTCGCAATGCTTTTTATGATGCGTTCACCAAGTCTCTCAGTCACACATAGAAGGAAGCAGCACTGACTGACTTGACGGTGATGTTGAAAATTTGAATGGTACTCTGTTTATACTGATTACAGCAGAAGATATGCATACCGATTTCAGAGTGATGAATGTCTCTTGTGATTTTACGATGTTGGCTGTCATTGACATGGTGAGATAGATAGATAGGTGGTAAAAAGAATAGCAATATAGAAGAACAATAGAATTTCGTTGGATATTCTAAATCACAAAGAGTGAATGCATAGTCGCCAGCCATTGAGAACAAGGATTTTGAGCCATATCACCAATCGTCTCCAGCCTTCGTTCGTTTTCACCATCCCGAGAACTCCAACCAGCCAGTGAGGCAGTCTACACCTCCGTTCGTGACTGATTGGCTGACTGACTTAAACTAACTGTTGTGGATTTGATTGACTGATGAAGCCATGTTTTGGTTCAACCACCACTAGAAGTTCTATTCCAACCTGATCTATCCATCTTATCTCAGTCAGCTAACATTGCCCGTTGTCTAGGAAGGCGATCGATGCGTAGGCATGCATGCGCAACACATGTCCTAACCATCTCACTCAGTCGATACAACTGCTTCACAACCTCGTCGATTGGTTTCCCTCTCCCCACCTAGCATTCGACCGACGGCTAATCTCAATATTTCTCACCTTGTTATACCACACAACAGTGGAGACAGAACGCAGACTAACATTTCCCGCTTAGGAAGATGGTAGGTAGTCATGCGTAACATATACTTTGGCTAGTGAACATCGGATCAATTGTCAAGTGTTTGTTTTTTATGCGATTTGATTGTATACGAGTTTTTTCAAGAGTTGAAATTAGTGAAAGAACTATTTAAAAAAAACCAGCAAGAAATACTGAACTTTTGTTTCGTCCTAGTATGTGACTCGTCGGCTCTACCCACTCACTGTGATTCGATCTGGGTACCTTCTGGTCATGTGACGAGCTGATAGATCATTCAGCTATTGAGACGCGATTCAATGGCTCATGAACCCCAAGCTCTGCGAATTTGCGATATATGCAGCTCAATTCGGGGCAGCCAGTGTCATAGGGGAGTATCTGCTCAAATGCGTATCACTTGATAATTAATCCGATGCTTATTAGCATCTGGTTCTACATAGGAAGTAATAGTCGCCCGCATGCTTCCATAAGCACACAAAGACTAAGTCGATGATATCATGATACTCACCCCTTCTGTGTGTGTATGCGTGTTTGCCGTCTAAGTGGCCGGAGTAGATTATTGACTTCCCATTCGAGGGTTTCAGATAATTCACTTCCATTCTATCTTCTCTCTCATGAATTCTTAGCATTTATCTACCATAGTTCAATTATTCTGCAATGTGAGCAGTCTTTTCAACCTCAGCTGTGATATAGACAGAAATTACCATGGCCCCCATACTGTTTACTTTTGCTTCCATAGAGTTTTTTTTTGAGTCATCTGTCTCCTCGAATTTGAGGAGTCCTCCTAAGAATAAAACATGCACTTCATGCAGAACTTCGCCACTCGCCGGAACAAGCTGGATTCAGATGAGGCAAATCCAGTGCTGATCAAATTTCAACTCTACGCATCGTCATCAAACACAGTCTAGAATAGAATGGCAGTCAAACTCCTACCTTAACTTCATCGACTTCTAAAAGGCAACGGTTTCGACAGCGTTGACTGAAGAGTAATTTGAAAACTACTTCAGCACTACGACGTGCAGTCCCGAAGTTGTTATCAACCTCATTCAACAGCTTGCTATGTGACAATGCCAGGTGTCAGGTGATCCACAATGAAAAACTTAGTGAGGCGTTCGAAGTGAACAGAGAAGTAAGACAAGATTGCCTGCCTATTATCACCTACGATGACATTCTTAATTGTGGGGAGTGAGAAGACAGGAATAGGTCGGACCACCGATAAGAAGACTATAAGATGTGGATTCTACACATGGATGATTTATTTCTAATGTCTCATAGACTCGATGACTAACAGGCGAAAACCAACGAACTGGCAGAAGAGAGTGGTAGGCAGCGAATACAGGACTTCAGATTGACATGGAGAAGACGGAAATGATGAAGATAACCAACCAACTAACGACAACGACCAGCACCAATTACTATCAACGGGAGAAATTCGAAAGATGTTATTTCCTTAAATTTTCCTGCTAGGAAGCATTATTTTAACTACAGACGACAGCGCGAATGAAAATGTCAAAGCCAGCCACCCAGTCAGTCAGCCAGAATCAAAAAGACGAGTTACACCTTCATCAATCTGAAACCAGTTTGAAAATCTTCTTCCCTGCACTCAGTCAGCATAAAGAATAGGATTCGGATTATATTCAACACAAATGTGACGTTGGTCACTTTATAAATGGGTCAGATACTGGACCAGCGTCTCACGGAAAACATTTCCAACAGGCTACGGTAGACTTTTATCAACAGCTGCCGTCCCTGACTTCATACTGAAGATCAAATGACCGGTCGGCCAAAAAGAATTAGCGACACGAAACTCTGCAGTGGAGCTGGTCGCTCAACAAATATGTGAGAGAAAAATGTGATGGATTAGACGTAAGCTAAGGAGACCGTCGAATGACATAGTGTGCAATGCGGGTCATCGCTGGAGTGGAATCTGAAGGAGAAGCAACGGTTAGATCTTTGGTGCTAGGGTGACATGGTGGAGATCGTGTGGCGAGGAGAAGGAAGAGATGAGACATTATGGGCAATCGTTGATCCAGATGAAAATAACAACAGAAAGTAGAAGGAAGTGGAGATATGTTGTTTTGAAGCCCTTGATGTTCCACTTGGAACCCAAGGGAATAATAATAATAATCTTAGGATAATCCAGTATTGGTTTGTAGGGATTTGATTGATTGGTTACAGGATTTCATCTAAAGCCAACACTGGTTAAAGAAACATTGGAAAACCTACAGGGAGTACTGGGCAGCTGTTTCGTCCTAGTTTGGGATTCTTCAGTAGTACGCACCCACTGGGGTTTGAACCCAGGACCTTCTGGTGCCTACCGATGAAGAGTGCTAAACTAGGACGAAACAGCTGTCAAGTACTCTCTGCATGTTTTCCAATGGTTCTCTAACCAATGTCAGCTCATGATGAAATCCTGTAACCAATCTTAAAATACGTTTTTTTTCCTGTGCTTTAAACTTGGGTTGTGCTAGTCTTCAGGCCCAATCTTTTCTCTTTTTCTGGGTTAGACTGAAGTCCTCCAGCCAGTAAACTAGGTGAGGTTTAAAGCTTACTTCAAATAAAATAATTATCTCTTCTTTTTTTAATCTTCATTACAGGATACTTCATTTAGCATATTCTGAATTCTTCTCCATCGCTTCAAATCCAGTACGCTCACATGAATTCGCATTGTGTGGTAGATCTGAATCACTTGTACGGTAAGCATTTTTATTTGGTTGTGTTATGATGAAATGTACTCCATATGCGAATAATATTTACTTATTAGAGAGATAATTAACCCTGGAGGGGATGTTTCTAAGCGGTATGGGGGGGGGGGGAATGTCATGAAAAAAGCGCTTCTGTGAATAATTCAGAATATTAAAAAAAACTGTTTACCTGTTTGAACTAAATTCGCCTGTCTAGTTGCCTACTGTCAATAGTGTGAGACTTGTGTGCTTTGATTAGATACTTGATATAGTAACTCTAGTGTCATGCATACGCCTAGTCTCCTTCGTTGGGTTCTGAGCAAATGGTGTTAGTAGTTTAAAGTAACCCATTTCCTGTCGTCTAAGATTTGAACTGGGATCACACAGGGCTCCAGTCAGAGAAGTTCGGCTCGTGACTGACCTCCTATAGGACACTAGTGGATACTTGAATTGGAACACTGTCTGTTGTCAACATAGAACTTTTCACCGACGTGCACCAGTTCAAGTCGCCACACTCCCTCCTTGTAACACACAAAACAATAGAAGAAAGTAGAAGAAATGCATAATAGAGACAGTAAACAGAATTGTGATACAAAGGAATAGTAATAACGAAGGAAAATATAGTTTCATTAGAAATCCTGAGTCATAAAGAGTGGATGCATCTGCCACAGCCATTGAGAACAATTTTGAGCCATATCACCAATTGTCTCCAGTCTCCATTGATTATTACCATCTTTAAGACCCCAGCCAGTCTACACCTCCCAATGTGGCTGGCTGACTGGCTTAAACTAACTGTTTTGGATTTCATTGACTGATGAAGCCATGTTCTGGTTTGACCACTGCTAACTCTTCTCCAACCTGACCCTATGTCAGCTAACATTGCCCATTGTCGAGGAAGGCGATGACTAGACATACAGCATGCGTAACATATGTCCTAACAATCTCAGTCGTTGTAACTTCACAGCCTTGTCGATTGATTTCCCCTTCTTACCTAGCACTCGACGCCTAACCCCAGTATTGCTTAACTTACCATACCACTTCACATGTCAGATGGAACGCAGGCACCTATGATCAATGACAGCCAACCAACGAGGCTTCCCATGTCTTCCACTCTCAATGACCAGGTCTCACAGCCAGCCATAAAGGAGGACGGATTGGACTGCTGAGCAGTACACACCCTCTTTGGTGGACAGTCAGCCGGATATCACGTCTACACAGCGAGAGACTGTGTAAACTGGTATATTCGAAACTAGCCCTGTGTATCCATACTGAGATTTCGTCATCGATCAACCTGTTGGCGTTTGCTGATGAAACCTCCCAAATAAGTGAAGTGGTCAACGTGCGGTGCCACCTCAACGCCTATTTATAAGGTAGGAGTGAGTCAATGTAGTCCAGTCCTGTAGCATTATCACCTTACATTTGACACAAGGAACAAACCGCATGCCAAACATTCGTAGATTGCAACTCAAGGTGTTCATCAAAAGACTCTGCATTTTGTCAGCATCTTTACCTAGGAGGGAGGACTATATTATCTGCATATTCTAAGTCAACGAGATTATTCCCGGGTAACAAGCGAATGCCTGAGTGGCTAAAGTCACTTAGGTTAGCTTCCATTAGTATATCTATGATGAAATGTGATGAATAGAAATGGGGATAGTTGGCAGGGCAGCCCTGCCGGACACCACTAGTTGTCACCATTTCAGATGACAACTCGCCGCAAGCTCTCACATATTGAGAAACAGTAATGACTGACCTGTAATTGATGTTGAAAATCGGAATGTTACTCTGTTTATACTGAGTACAGCAGAAGATACCCATGCCGATTTCCGAATGATGAATGTCTCTTGTACTGTTACGATCTTGGCTGTCATTGACATGGTTATCTTTTCTGCCTAGCCTAGATAGGTGAGAGGGAGAGAGAGAAGTGGTCTTCCTCAAATTTCTCCCTATGATAATAATTGATGCTTGAAAAGATTATGGTCGACCTAAAATATTTCTTTCATCGCGCGCTCTCTCTCTCTCTCTCTTTGTCTCTCTCCATATTTGTATTTGTGCTTCTTCAATAGAATTTATGACCGACGTAAAGTGAACAAACAAGATCCAAAGAAAGGATTATTACACACCTTTGGTGTTGAACATCTACGTGGAAATAGACGTCAGTCTACAACATTAGATACAGTCAGTCGTCGTGTAGCGATGAATTCCCTTTCAAGTCGTCGTCATCTTTCTATTGATTCGGATTCGGATTCAGATTCAGATACAAATTTGTTAAGTTCACTGACTGCACAATTGGGTCGTGGTGTACGTGCTGTACTTAGTGGTCTTGGTGGGCGTGCACGAGCAGCACTACTCAGTGGGAATACTAATGACAGTAGTATACCAGCTGATTTAACCGATGATTTTGCACTGACAATGTACAGTGTCACTGCTGCTGTATATAGTCCTCAGGGTGATGGTATGTTTACTTTATATTTGATTAAAAAAAATTCTTTTGTTTATTTAGATTATGGGATTCGTTAGAATTATGTTTTTATTTATTATTATTATTATTATTTTTTAATTGATTAAAAATGCCCATTAAAATTTTTCAAAAGAATGGATACAGAACAATGAATACTCTTTTCAATAACCTGCTTTTCATCATCAGGCTCTACAGTTATATATACATTATAGTGAATGAATGAATTAAGGCTATGAACAACATTATTATTGTTCCTTTGGGTTCCTAATGGGACATAGGGCTCCAACTGCACGTCTCCACTTGCTTCTGTCTTCCTTCTGCTGTACTTTCCACCTGCATCCATATTAGTCCATACTGTTTCGACTCCTCTTCACATGGTCTCCTCCATGTCATCCTTGCACCGACGTCCCACTCGCCGCTTCCCTGTCGGGTTCCACTCGAACAATGGCCTGATGCGCGCGCGATGTCACCCAGCGGCCTCCTCAGCGAGTGTCCAATCCATCTCCACTTTCTCCTGCATATTTGTTGGGCGATTAGTTCTTGTTTTGTTTGTTCCTAGCCATAGTTTCTTGTTGGTGATTCTTTCCGGCTCGGCCATCTGATCTTCAGTATAGAGCGAAGACAGTTAGTTGTTGATAAAGGTAACTTCTGCAACAGGCTGTTGGAAATATTCTTTGTGGCCCGCCAAGTTTCTGATCCGTTCCGTATAGGAGAACTGACGTCATGTTTGTATTGAAAATCCGACCGAATTTTGTTGTCTATTCTGGCTGAGTGACGAAGATTTCCAGATTGGTTTCAGATTGATGAATGTGTTTCTCACCTTCCCAATTCTCGCTCTATTCGACTGACTGTAGTTGAGACAATGCTCGCTTCCTAGATAAGTGAATGAATGAAGTAACCTCTTTCAAATCCCCTCCCGTTGATAGTGATTGGCGCTGGATGTTGCATGAACAACATTAGTGTTGTTTAAATAATATCGAATCAATAATATCAATGGATCACAGTTCACTAGCATCAAAATAACAATAAACTGAATGTCAGAAAAATTAGGAAAGATAATAATAATACAAATTCATGAATTTATAGTCTTTAATGAAGGCCAGGGAAGTAGTAGTGGCTAGCTGGACTTGCTTCTTTTGAACACAGAGCACTGGTTGTTTGAGGCGAACTGCAATAGCCTCTGTTGTTTTCTAGCATGCGGTGCTTCGATGTTTTTGGCAATTTATTAGGCACTCGGTAAATGATAGAGAAGGATTCTTCAATGCTGACTGGCTTTTATGGCTGGTTTGCACCAGATGATCCAATATCGAACTGTTAATGGTTTTCACTACACCTTTACTCTTAGCCATAGTGGGAGATGTTCTCGAGTCAGCACGAAAAATCAAGTTCCTAGAGCAACGGCCAATATAACTTGCTCCACCACAATCGGGGTTGCATTGGTAGATACAATTTGAAGTAGCTAGTCTAGGTACTTCACATTTCAATCGAGAGACCACCATCGGTCGTGTAGACAATAAGACGTTAAAAATTTCTTTGAACTGATTTTCTTAACTTCTTCGTAATTATCTCATTCGGTATATCGTCCTTGAATTGTACTCATATATAAAGTGGCTTCTTGTCTACAGATAGTGAGTAGTCCTTTTCCACTTTCTTTGTCATGTGTTTCCTGATAAATTTGTCAGGATAGCTATTTCCGATCAAAGTTTCATAAACAATGTTCAATTCATCTTCAATTACTTCTTCTGAGCATATAGCTGTAACTTTGTGGCTGAGGGTCTTCACTAAATTTCTTTTGTACTTGATAGGAACGAAGCTGTGAAAATGTGTGGATATTGTCCTGTCCATGTGCTTTTCTTATGCAAATTTCTTTTTATGCTACCATCTGGTTTTCTTGTTAGTAGGACATTCAGGAAAGTATTCTGTCTTGGGATTCTTCTTCGTGTGTGAATTTCATATCTGAATGTGCTTCATTGAGTTCAGCAATTATTGTACTCCTATTAGAACCATTATCACAAAGAATGAAGGTATCATACATATATATCGGCAATAAAATGAGAGCTTACTGATATGGTTGTTCAAAGGATCATTTTCTAGTTTACTTAGAAAGAAATCTGCCAGTATGGGAGCCCGCCACCACCCCGTCCACTTGTCTGTAAAGCGTGTCGTCAAATTTGAAGTTTACATTCATGGCACATCTTAATAACAATTCTTTTAGGATTTCAGTATGGATGCCAATGTTTATCGACAGCTTGTCCACTTGTTCACATATGTAGTTCACTGTTTCTGTTAGAGGTACATTTATGAATTATTATTATATCCTTTAATTCCTAGAGGAACATAGGGCTTCAGCTGCGCACCTCCATTGCCTTCGGTTTCCTGCCAACTTTTCACCCCGCCCCAAGTCTGTCCACATGCTTTCATCTCCTCTTCACATGACCTCCTACAAGTCACCCTCCCACTAACGACCAACTCGCCAATTCCCTTTCGGATTCCACTCGAGTGATGGCTTGTCTAGTGATGTCACTTGATGGTTTCCTCAGAGTATGGCCAATCCATCTCCATTTCTTCTTGCATATTTCTTGCACAATTCGTTCCTGCTAGGTTGGTTCCCTCCCAGAGATCCTTCACTGTTGCTGATCTTTTCTGGCCGGCCATATGATCTTGAGTGGTATTGAGCGGAGACAGCTATTAATGAAGAGCTGTAGTTTGTTGAGATGCTCTTTATGACGCCCAGTGCAAGTCTCTGATCCGTGTAGTGAGTAGCAGTGACTGACTTCACATTGGAGTTGAAAATCCGGATGTTATTTTTGATGCCGAGTGCTGTTGACCTCCACACATACTTGAGAGTAGTGAAAGCTTGTCTTGCTTTTCCAATTCTTGCTTTGATATCCTCGTCAGTTCCGCCTGTAGTTGAAACGATGCTTCCCAGGTGGGTAGGTAAAGGAGGTTGTTTCTTTCAGGTTCCTCCCACTTATGCTGGCTGATTGTTGTCTGTTGTTGTTTGTGTTGTTGTTGGCCAGGAATCTTCATCACATCTGTTTTATCTATGTTCACCTGAAGTCCTATCTTTGATGCTTCTTCCATCGCCAACTTGTTGTTTTTCACTTGGATATCTTTCAGTTTGTGGGAAATCAGACATATACATCACATCGCCGAAGTCCAGATCCTCCAATTCTCTTTTTGTGTGAGTTCATTTTATGCCTGTTTCCTCATTGCCCGTTGTCTGTCTCATTATCCAATCTACTGCAATCAGGAAGATCATTGGCGATAGTAGACAGCCTTGTCTCACTCCCGTTCTCACTTCAAAGGCTTCCGTGAGTTTCCCGTTGTGGATTACTTGGCATGTAGCATTGTCGTATAATTGTTGGATGAGATGAATAACAATGTTATATCTAGAGATATCATGATTTTGTCTACGAATTCAAATACATCTTTGACGCTTTATTTCACTATCTTATCTTATATTTTTAGTTTTCATTATAGCTTGATTCTACACCGTATTTTTGGTACAAGTATGGAATTTTCAGAATGTGATATCGGTAGCCCAAATTTTTCAGGCCGACCATTGATATCAGGTGTGCGTTGGCAAGGGATAGAACCCCGGACCATGTTCATGGTCGGTGAGAATCCTAACCGCTGTGCCACCGATGTACATTATTATCATTGTTCCCTTGAGATCGGAGTGGAACATACAGTTTCAACACAACGCCTCCGTTTTGTCCCGTTCTCTAAGATCCTCTCGACCATCACATCAACTGGCCTCTCATTATTGCTCATACTCCCTCATCACCTTCGCGTTATCTTCAAACACACTCCTCCCAACTAGTCGTTTCTTGTTTTGGTTCCACTCGAGCCAGTGATCTGTCTTTAGCGATATCACCCGACAGTCTCCTCGGGGTGTGTCCAGTCCGTCTACATTCTCCCCGGCATATATGTTGAGCGATAGATTCTTGGTTGGTTCTCCCCAAGAGTTTCTCGTAACCAGTTCTTTTTGGTTGGCTATTTACTCTTCATAGTATGAAGCCAGCGAAGAGGGCAGTTGTTGACAAGAGTCTATAGCAGGCTGTTGGAAATTTTTTTTAATGACGTGTGAACCAAATATCTGATCCATATAGAAGAACTGAATGACTTTCAATATTGATGTTGATGACAATGGGAATTTCGTCCTTTATGCCTAATTATTAGCAAGCCAGATAAAGGCGATGGTATAGTTTTATTAGACAAAAGTGATTATTTTAAATGATCAAACTAAATTCCAACCTCTTGGTGTTTCCAAAGACCTCAATGTAAGAGCCGAGAAACTAATGACCGACTCTCTCAAAAAGCTGAACCAAATAGCAGTATTATCATCAGCCTCGTATGAGTCCATGAAACCAACGAGTACCAATACTCCACGTCTTTACGGTCTACCCAGAGTGCACAAACCGGGTCTTCCTCTTCGCCTTGTTTTAGATATGTATAACTCTCTATTTCACGGAACAGCGAAGTGGTTAGTTAAGATTCTGGGTCCTTTGCACAGAGAAATTGTGCAACATAGAATTAGTGATGTGTTCGACTTTACTTCAAAAATATCCGAGACTAATGTGAGGTATAAACTCATGTTATCCATGGATGTATCATCACTATTCACTAATATACCGCTTATGGAAACAGTAGATTATATTTGTCAAGAAATCACCGAGAGGCAATTGGACTTAGGAATCCCCTTGTGTAGCCTCAAAGAATTACTTCTCAAATGCACAATAAATGTTCACTTTGTCTTCAATAAATCTTACTACCGACAAGTAGATTGAATAGCTATGGGTTCACCATTACACCCAATGTTAGCTGACTTCTTTCTCGCAAAACTGGAAAACGGGAAATTGAAAGACACCATCAAGGAGTTTGATATGTATTACCGATGTGTCGATGATACATTTATCTTAGCTGATGGGAATGTTAACATAGACGAATTGTTGCTGAAATTCAACAACGTCCAGTCTTCGCTTTCTTTT